TCCCCTGGAGGTGTTGCCTCTTTCCTAGCTGCTCTCAGCCATCACAGCATGTTCTGCTGACTTCAGTGAACCCATCAATCTGATTATCTGCTGTGGCAAAGAGACAAGTTCAACTCAATTAACATTTATGGATTCCACAGTGCTTTGCATAAATGTTTGCTTAATACACAAGTCAAAAATATCCCCAGAAAATGAAAATTAAAGATAGTTAATTGCTTGCAGCTATGCACCAGTGTGTAAACTGGGGTTTCCATAGCACCAAATGGCCTGTTAGAGCATTATGACAAAGTCAGAGCTTAAAGAGAAACAACCTGAGTTCAAAATGCACAGAGGAAAGTGGATTCTTCATGTTCTATGGAGCTGGTGCAGGGCCTGGAGCACAAGTGTGATGGGGAAGGGCTGAGGGACCTGGGGGGTTTAGTGTGGAGAAGAGAAGGCTCAGGGGGGACCTTATCGCTCTCTGCAACTGCCTGACAGGAGGATGGAGCCAGGAGAGGGCCGGTCTCTGCTCCCAAGGAACAAGGGATGGGACAAGAGGAACCGGCCTCAAGCTGTCCCAGGGCAGGTTTAGCTGGAGGTTGGGAACAGTTTCTTCACACATGGGTTAGTGGTGGCCTTGGCAGTGCTGGGGAATGGTTGGCCTTGATCTTAAAGCTCTTTTCCAACCTGGTTGATGCCATGATTTGATGTGGTGCCAGCTCTGTGGATGTCTGAGTTCTGAGGGTTGTCCTTTTCCTTGCTGAACTTTCAGAGCACGCCCCTCACACCAATCCCACTCCCTCTCTTTCCCCCCTCTTTTCACCTTTCACTGCTGCTCCTCCTGCTCCAGCCAGTTGCCACCTCTCTGCTGTGGGTTAATGAACCAGCTGCAACGTGGTCTCACAAAAGAAACATTTATTTATGAAAATCCATTTGGACAAAGCCACTGACCAGAGAGAGGCCGTTTTGTGGAGGAGATTCGGGCTTTCTCTCTGTGGAGATGCTACCATGGGAAGAACTTGACACTAAGCTCCTATTAGCTGCCCCACACACCAAATCCCAAACCCCAGATGTACATCAGAGCCCATCTCACCCCCTCCTGATCCTGACTGTATCACATTGCACAGAATCAGGAGCTTCTTTGTGTGGGATGGAGAGTTTAAGGGCAGAGACACCCGAGAGCAGACCCATCCTCAGCTGCTCTTGGGACTCCCTGTTCCTCCCCTGGGGTGCCACCACTGTGTTTAACTGGTGCGTGTGATTTAGCTGCCAGCAGAGATGCTGTTCTGGTGTTACCACAGGAGCACTGGGGCTATTTGCCTGCTAAACTTTGTGCTAGAACTGCTGTATTCATGATTCAGCTGGAGACAGGTTTTGGGGGCAGGATGGTGTGAACCGGGCCCTTTTATATGGTTCTGGCTGATGAAGCACATGTTGGAACTGGATGAGCTTTAAGGTCCTTTCCAACCCAAACCGTCCCATGATTCTATGATAAGTGGTGAGCAAACAGCCTTTTGTGTGTCTACCAGCACTCCCATTACAAGCACTACAACCAACAGGGATCAATACCAGCTGCTTTGCTTTGATTTCCACATTTCCAAAGCTGCCTGATTTTTGGGGCAAGCAGGCTTTTGCTTGGCTTTTGCTGTCTTTTTGTTTTAAGCTGGTGGGAGCTAAATGGCTACGCATGAAACAGGGTGTAAATGGTGTATTTTGGAGCAATTGAGCAGACCCTGAGGTATATACAGAAATGGATTTGCTGCTCCAATGCAAATGGGAGCTGGGTGGGGAGAGCAATTTCTGAGTGCCGTGCCAGGAAGCAAACCTGAGCTTACAATCAATCCATTGGGGGTAAAGAGAAGGCTATAAGCTGGGATGTGGGTTTCAGAGCTCCTTTCTGAAACAGTTTTGGCTTGGAGTCCATTGTAATTGGGCTGGGGCAGCTCCTTTAATGATGGTGGGAGTTCTCTGTATGCCTCCAAGGAGGAGATGTGCAGACCTGCTGAATGATGCTCTCCAGCTGCTGCATTTCAGAGAGCCAGGAAAGAGACAAAGAAACCATCTTGCTTTGCAATTGAATTTCTGATCAGAGACCTGCCAACAAACCAGGCAAACAGGCTTCATGAACAGGGAAACCTCAGGGTTAGAGCTGACCTGTTGGAAAGGAGATCTGGAAACAGCACAGAGACTGGACTCATCCTATGTTTAGGTGTCCCATCTCCAAGCCTGGGCAGGGGTTGTGCTGTTTTAGGCTTCTCAGTCTTCAGAAGAAGACTTCTCTGTGGCTGTTGTGTGCACAGAGCATCTCAAGGTTGGTGAAACCAGCCTGATGCACGTCATGTGCATGGACACGGACCTGACCCAATGTGCAAAAAGCCTTGTTCCTGTTCCTGCCTCCACCGACCAAATAACTCAGATGGGAGAGAGGAAAAGCTGGGTTTGGGCATGTTGTACCCATCTACACAGAACATATTGGTTTTACTGCATTGGGCTCCAGCTGTTGAACGATCCTTGACATATTCCCATCAGCTTGAGCATCCCAGGCAGGCTCCACTGCGGTCATTGGCACTGCTTATAAGAGGTGGGAATTTTCCCCCCTTTCTTTCAAGAGATAGTTCTCTACAAGACACACAAGAAGCATTTCAGGCTGGAAACTGTCAGCTTGAATTGGAGGCTCCGAGTACACCCAGGGGGTTATCCCACGTTTCAAGCTGAGTGTTGCCTGTGAGAAGACAGTTGTCATTTCTCTGCACATCTCATGCTTACAACACCCTGGGGCAGAAAACCTGGAGGACAAAAGGGCAGCATGATATATACACACACACACATACACATATATATATATATCTTTGTTGTTTCTTTGTTAAATGCTGACTTCTGTAGCTCACAGCCTGACACAGACTTTTGTGCGTGGGGTGTATGGAGCAGGTCTCTGCTTGCCTTATTCACCTTTTCAGACCATTTTGAGATATTTGGTTTCATTTTCATGTGGAATTTGGCTTGGCAGCTGGGAAGAAATCACCATTTGGCTCTGGTTTGTAGCACCTTCTTGTGTATTGGCTGCACAGCTCCTGTGGGGTTGGTGGAAGAAGTTTCCTGGTCTAATCCTTGTGTCCAACCCTTTGGCTTCACCCATCCCTTCAATCTCCACTGCCTGGGGCTGGTGGAGTTTTGCAACCCCAAATTCCCAGGCAGGCTCCTGTCATTCCCCCTTCTCTGTGCTGCAGGGTTGTGGGGTGGGGGCAGCAGCAAGGCAATGTGTCTTAAGGCGACAAGAATGGTGAAAGGTGGAAGTTTAAGCAGGGCACGTGCGTGAAGCACGAGGCAGTTTGTGATGTTGTGTGGTTGCAGCACTGAGGAGGGTATGGAAGAGGCTGCAAGAGCTGCTCCTCACTGATGGCACTTGGCAGGATTTGGGCTGGAAATGAAGATGATCCTTCTTGTCAGTCTGGTTTTGCAGCCATCTCGTTGCTCTTGGATCCATCTATTTGGCCATTCATTTGATTTCTGCTGGAGTCATTGCTTAAACAAGTGTATTTTCATCTCCAAGAACCACTGGGGCTGGGGATTTATTAATCACTGAATCTTCCAAGCAGCAGGTTGGAGGCTGAAGAGTGGCAAAGCTCCAGAAGTCATCACTGTTTCACTTCCAGAGTTGCTGTGTGCTCAGCAGGGTCTGATGTTCAGCTGCTGGAAAATGAACGAGCAGTTCCCTTGCCCTGTCATGAGTCTCTGCAGCGTTTCTATCCTGCAGTGAATCCATTCCAGGAGCCTCATTTCTCCAACCAAGAGTGAGAGATTGGACCAGCAGCAAGGAGCAGTCGATACAACTGTCCCCATATTGCCCCCAGACTTGTGGGTTTGTTCCCAACAAGCCAAGTTTGCCCACTTCTCCTTTCATTTACTCCTTTTGAATGTCTATTTGCCCTTTGTATGAACAGCCCCAGTGAGGATTATCCATCATAACACGGCTCAAACAGTAGATATATCCATGTACACATCATAAACAGAATGGTTTATGCAAAAGACAGGGGGATGAGGAGAAAAAGAGTTTCCCTGATTCAAACCAAATCCAGAACGTGGAAGTGAATCATTTCAACTTCATCTGAGTAAAAACTCTGCAGAATCCTTGTCTCCAAACCCTGGTCACTTGTTTGATTCAGATGGAGTCCTGCCACATCCCTTTCTGTGCAGCTCTAGACATTTCCAGGTGGTGAAAAGCGTTTTGATATGGTCACTCTTCTTCTCCAGACCTCCACAGGCTTCCGAAATCCATCCAAGAGCCATCGCCTTGGTTTTTAGGACATCACAGTGATTGCTTTTGGCACATGCGGTTGATTAATGGCAACCAAAGTCTGGCTCAGGTCAGAAATCCTTTCTGAGATCCCTGTTTCAAGGAGCTGTGTGTGTGGAGTGGCAGCAGAAGAGCATCATGCAGAGGGATGTGGGTGCTGGAGATGGGCTGGGACTGTGTGGAAGTGCCTGGATCTGAGCTGACGCACTGAGCGGGCAGCGGTGTCCTGTGGATGTGCAGGCTCCAGAAGCTACAAACAGCATTTTTGGGCAGATTTACTTGAATACCCCTCTGGATATTCAACAGGGAGGATGAAATTAAAGGTGGGAAGAGGAAAGTGCAAGCCTGGTTCGTTTTCCTCCGGGTGGGATGCCCTGGGACATCCCTACTGCCTCGCAGAGAGCAGGGAAAGACCTGCCAGTGTTGTACTTCTGGTTTTGGAGGAAAACCCATCTCTGTCCCAGTTCTGCATCCTGTGGTGGTTGGACAGGCAGCAAGCAAGGCAGAGGCCAGCCAAACCTCCTTTGTGGTGGAACACGAGCCACAGTGGAGCACATGAAGCTAATCCAAAGCTCTTGGGCTCGCCCAAGGATGGCAAGAGACAGTAAAACAGCACAGAGAAAAGGCAGCACATCACAGACTGGGTGATGACTCTGGGTGGGTTGAGCACTGGAGCATCCCAGCAAGGGGCCTGGGATGGTGGCTCCTGATGGAGCTGGGGAGCTGCTTAGGTGAGCGTGTTGGAGTAGAAGCTGAAGCTCTCAGAGACTGTTTTGGAGTCGCTGCGGGAGGAGCCGTTGGAGGTCATGTCTATGGAGAGACGTTTGGCCTTGCTGCTCTCCTCCAGCTCCTCTTCAGCTGCTCCCACCGCCGAGGACACGGTGGTCTCGATGCGGCTCACCTTGTACATGCTGCTCTGTGTCTGCAGGAACCTGGCTGACTTCATCTCCAGGCCCTCGTACTCACCGGCGCTGACGAACGGGCACCACCGAAACGCGTGTTTGAACCCCACCCGAAACCTGGGGGACAGGAGACATGGGGAGAGGAAGGGGTGAGGGATGTGGAAGTGGCAAAAGGACCTCGTAGGGGTGGGAAGACAGAGCTAAAGCACTGCTAAACAACAGCAAAATGCTGCTTTTTACTAAGGGGAGGAAAAACCCACTGATAAATCCCAATCAGGAGTTGGTTTGATACCTGCCTTCAAATCCCACAGGGGCTTTAGGAAAGACTTGTTTAAGTGAGTAGTGTCCTTGTATCTGCTGGGAGCAACCCCTGGGAAAGGATGGGACAGATCCACCCTGGAGAAACTCTCCATCCATACTCTTCTCCATCACACCCCTCTGTATCTTCTCATCCTCCACCCCATTACACCAAGATGCTGCCAGAAATCCCTCGAAACCCACCTATCATTGAGGCAGCAGTAGATGATGGGGTTGTACATGGTGGAGCTCATGGCCAGCCACATGATAGCCAGGTAGACCTGCTGGATGAACTTCTGCAGGTACCACTCGGGGTTGAAATACTGCAGGGTGAAGTAGATGTGGTAGGGCAGCCAGCACAGCGCGAACGTGCACACCACGATGATCATCATCTTCACTACCTGCATGGAGAAGAGAGGGCAGGGAAGCAAAGTCATCTGTTGGAAACCCCACAGGTGGGGTGTCACCCTCCAAAGGGGCCACCTTATCTTGCCTTGGAGACCTTTCTAACCAGGAACACATGGTCAACATCTCGGTTAAAGCATGCACGGTGATGGAGGACACAACCGGAGGACACTCTGCTCCGTTAGCAGCAACCATGCAACGAATCTTGACCTGTTTCCACCCATAATTGAGTATTTTTGGCTGTGATTAGTTGGGATGAGGCATGAATTATGGCTTCTACTGTGATCCTTACCTTCCGCTTGGCTGAGACCTGCTCGTGGTAGCGGTCAGAGGAGTCACCGGGTATCTCACTTGCCCAGAGGGTGATACCAACCACGGTGTAGGCACATCCTATCACCAGCAGTGGCAAGAAGTAGATCAGGATGGTCATGCAGAAGTGATACCTAGAAAACATGATGGTGGTTGAGTGTGTCCCCCACCTATCCAGTCTTTTCCTTGCAAACTGAGCTCGAAGGCAAAGTGTTTCACAGGGAAAAAGGGAATGTGGCACAATTCCTGCAGGCACGTTGCCTGTACAGCTTAGGATGGGAAGGATTCCCTGCTTTCACCTGGATCTTTTCCAAGCCTCTGCTGCCAGCCTTTGGCATCCCAGCACCCTCTTGGGATGGGATGAAGAAGCCAGTGATGAACTTCCTAAGACAAGGATATTTTAGCTGAAGTGGTTTTATTCTTACTTCTACTCTATTTACACTCTGGAGGTGAATGCTTGCACTCATCACACCTTTATCTGGCAGTCCTGCAGGAGGAAATGTGGGGTTTTGACACATAAAGAATGGGAATATTAAGATGAAGAAATCAAGACTTTCCCTGCAGAGCAAACACTGGGTGTTGGGTGCAATCCTGGTTCACCACTGGTTTAGTTGAGCTCAGGTGGCACATGGCATAACCCCAGTGCCCCCGAACGCTGCCTAAACCCTTGTCATGGGGCTTTATTACAACTTCTTTGTGAATTCAGGGCCTGGCTCAGTTCTCCAGGCTGGTGGAAAGGGCAAGATCTTGGTTTCTGTTCATAGCAGGTACAAATAAGTCCCAAATGGTCTGTATTAAATTGCTAGTACATGCTTGAGGCTGTTTTGTCTTGTGTTTGAAGCTGGTGGAGTGTGGTGGATAAAAAAAACACTGGGACTGCAGAGTGTTCAGTGAAGGAGTTGTGCTAAAGAGAAGCTGCTTTAAAGAGGAAAAAAAACCACGTTGTTTTTAACCAACAGGATGGGGATGAACAGTTTGACCTTGCAGGTTCCTTCCTACCCTCAGAACTTGCATAAACCTCTTTCAGAAAGAGGAGCAAGAGGAAGAGGAATGTGCCTGGCAGCAGAGTGCAAAGCATCACACATGCTGCCACATCAGAGGTGCTTTTCTTCCAACAGCTTTAGGGTCTTTGCATGGGTTTTGGGGTGCTTGCCCGGATTGGATGCAAGATGCTGCGTGTGTTCAAGGTGGTCCAGGCCATGTTCCACACTCACACTCACTCATCCTCTCTGATGGAATAATAGCTCCAAAGTGTAACGAATGGGTCAGGCTCATGTCTGGTGCAATTCCCACAGGGAATGGGGTTGGCCCCGGCCCTGTGCTGGATGCCATCTCCCCCTTGTTTTGTACCTGCAATCTCATTTGGCCTCCTCTTTGCCCTGCACTAATCACATTTGGGCTGGATTTGGGAGCCCTGTTTTCTATTCTGCTAATTAAAGAGGCGTCTCTGTGGCTCTGCAATGAAGATTTCATTGTGGTTCCCATTTAATGCAGGGTCTTCCACCAGCTGCAAACAGCAGGAATGCCCCCAGGAGCTGTTACTGTAAGCAAGATGGAGCCTTGTTTCAGAGCTGCCTGGGAATGGTAGGGACAGGGATTTCCAAAGAGCCCTGGGACACCTTGTTGGTTTTGGACCAATCTCCATGTGGAACCACTCATCTGCTATTCTGTCTACAAGAACTGCAGGATCAAAGCACTTAGAGAAGCCCGGGGTTAGGAATTTAAAGGTCTTCCATGTGGGGATTTAGGGTCTGGTGAAGGATGGAGCAGCCTATAGGAGTTATGGGACAGGGATGCTGGAGAAGGCGGCTGCCACCTCCTTTTGCCTGGCAGAGCCCAGATGGTCACCGTGGGCTGATGTCTCCTGCAGAATCCAGTGAGTGGAGCAGCTTTTCCCTTCCCCTTAACAAACTGAAGTGGCAGCTAATGACATTGGAACAGATCGGGCATCTGTCTTACACCAAAAGTGGGAGAGGGAGTGGTGCTGAGCGGCAGGAGCGGAATTGGATTGAGCTCAATTGAATCGAGCTCAAATGCTGGCTCCTGTTGCAGACGCATCTCGCCTGCACCGAGGTCCTTGTCCACTTCCCCTCATGAGAATGGACACATTTTCCCAGTGAAACCCCCCATGTGCTTATCCCAGTCTCTGATCCTCTCTGCATGCCAGGGCTGTGCTTTCTAGCCTCCATTTACCATGAGGAGCCCAGAAACAGACCTCTGGTGTTGGCAGAATTCCCATCTTTTCTCTATGAACTGAAAGAATAACATCATTTTTCTTCACAGCCCATCTGCCGAGCTGCAAGTTATCTTCAATCCCCACCAAATGATTTGGGGTTTGGCTATTTAAAAGCTTTCCCAGCTTTTCTGCCTGCCCTCATATGTGTGCAGAGCCCCTGGCTCACCGGAGCACAGGATGCTCAGGCTTGGAAGCGGCGCCTGGCTTCCAGCTGCAGATCACTCATGGGTTAATGGTGGCATTTTTCACTTGAATGAGCTACTTGAGGACAACTGAACAGCAAATCATCCATCCGAGCCAGGCCCTGAGCTTCTGCTGGTTGTTGCTTTGCTCTGGGGAGGCTCAACCCCATCCCAGCCATGTGGGAGAGGGGCTTTGGACAAGGGATGGAGGGACAGCACAAGGGGAATGGCTTTTACCTGCCAGAGGGGAGACTGAGATGAGCTTTGAGGCAGAAGCTCTTCCCTGTGAGGGTGCTGAGGCGTCGGCACAGGGTGCCCAGAGAAGCTGTGGCTGCCCCATCCCTGGCAGTGTTCAAGGCCAGGTTGGACACAGGGGCTTGGAGCAACCTGCTCTAGTGGAAGGTGTTCCTGCCCGGGGCAGGGGGTTGGAACTGGATGAGCTTTAAGGTCCTTTCCAACCCAAACCACTCCATGATCTATGATTTCTTCACACTGTCTGTATTTATCACAGCAGCCTGGAATAATTAGGTTTGGAAAACACCTCTGGAGATCAGCTGGGCCAGCCCCAGCTTATTCTTGCCATCCCTGCCTTCAATGCAAGTAAATAAGATAATGATGCATGACACCATCCAGCTCTCTGCAGCCTGCCCCTTGCTGCTGGCTGGCAAACATTAACCTTGCATGGAGAACCTCACTAGGTTGGATTTAAACCCCTCTCTGTGTGTGCGTATCCCCTGCTTTGGCTCCAGCCCCATTTCGCTGCCCTAATTCGTTGATCCATGGGATCACAAATGCCTCTTTTATCCCCTCCACTCCTTCTTCCTTCACACATGACATTTAACTTGCTGCATGACCCGGGGACTCCAAAGAGCACCAGCAGGGCTGCCCGGGCCCTTTGGAAATGCCACATTTAATGAGCTGGCACCTGAATGGGAAGGAAGGAGACTCCTGCTGAGCATCCCCAGCCCAGGCTTTGCTTCCCAGCTGGAGCTGATCCCACAGAGCCCCTTTTTGTAACTTGGGTTTTAAGCTGTCGAGTGAATTTGGGGGCATTTGGACTCAGCAAAGCCCAAACCATTATTTTTACCTGTTATTGCCTGGCCAAGATCTCCCCCTACCTCCAGTGAAATCCCATTTACCTCTTGCAGGAATAACTCTTGTCCCAGGCAAGCTTTAGACATAGAGGTTGCAGCAAAGGTGCTGTAAACCCCAGAGTCATTCTATGTCTAGGAATAAGTCCTTGGGGTCAATGCAGACCCCGTATCCACAGCCAAAATATTGCATCTTAGCAGTTTTCCTTGAATTTCCCTGAAGGATAAGCGTCCAAGAAGGGCAGGGAGCATGGTACAGCATGGGACAATGGCTGGACTACAAGCAGCATTAAACTCACCTCAAAGTGCCTCCAAGATGATATGGAAGGAGATTTTGCTACCACCAACCACGTAGCTCTGGCTCTTGCTTGGAGCAACCTGCTCTAGTGGAAGGTGTCCCTGCCCATGGCAGGGGGTTGGAACTGGAGGAGCTTTAAGGTCCCTTCAACCCAAACCCCTCCGTGACTATACTTCCCGCATCCCAAGGAGCTTTGAGCCATTCCCATCCTTCCCCATTCCCATTTTTCCCATACATCTACTGTGCTCTCCCGTCCCCGCTGCTGGCAAAGTTCCACTCACGTTTTCCCATAGAGGTTGGTGCTGTGCTCCGGCCACTCCACCAGACACACCAGCCGCCCCGGCAGCTCCTCCATCACCGAGTAGTAACCCTGGGGGAAGGCCAGCAGGAAAGCCAGGAGCCAGATGACACCGATGACCACCTTGGTGGCGGTGGCCGAGAGCCGGGGTTGCAGCGGGTGGATGATTCCCATGTACCTGTGAGGTGGGCAAAGGACAAAACAAGGCTGGAAAGCCCCAGTATTGCAGATCTTTCCCTTGCACTGGGGTTGTACTTTTGACACCCTTTAATGCATCCATCAGCATTTCACAGCTACAGGTTGGGCAGAGAAGTGACTCGGAGCAGCCTGAGGAGGATTTGGGGGTGTTGGGTGAGGAGAAGCTCCCCATGACCCGGCTTCAGTGTGTGATTGAGCCCAGAACCC